CCTGGTATGAAAAGCCATATTTAAGTATAGTATACCATCAAACCCATTATTATGACAGCGCACATTGAGTTGCTATTTAAATTAAGTAAAACCTCTATTATTATTAGTGTTGCTCGAATGCGAGACCAAGAAGAATCTTGCATACCGTCTTGGTCTTGCGAAAGAGTCTTGCAACATTTATTTATTTTATTTTATTTATTATTTGTTTATTATTTTATTTATTTATTAGTTTATGACTATAGAGATATTACTGTAATTTTTCAGATAGTGGAAACCCAACTATACCTGAATGAAAAATTTGAAGAGTTAAATGCAAAAGTATATTGGTTGTACCAATTCTTTACATATACTAACTAAAATTATGAAGTTTTAGCCTTTCACAAAAACTATTTTTTTTTTTTTTGTTTTCTTTGCCCACCCTTATTCTTGGTCTTGCAATACTTAGACGATCTTGGTCTTGGTCTATAACTTACCTTGCTGTAACATTTTCTAAATGCAATGTTTATTAATAGTCATGGTTCCAATAATTATTTTTAAAATCATTCTTTTTTATTTTAAAGCTTTTTTGTATATGTAATCAAAAGCTTCATCGCACAGATAGCAAAATTTATATGAGCAGGTGTAGGCTCTATTCGAATAATTTACTAAATTGATTGTTTGATACATTTTATATCAAAACCGGTACGAGATTCATAGTCATTAAATATTGCGTAAAAAAATCAAAAATGCTGTTATTTTTCCATTATTTCTATCTTATCACTCTAAGTGAATCGGGACATTTAGAAATTGCACATGTCAATATATATATATGTATACGGTGGCGTGTGGAGTTTCTGTCTGTAAGTCACGATTCAATTATAACAGAAGAGATAGCTACAATGGATAGAGTGGACCTGCAAATACAGACCGGTTATATAACCACTGATGATCCAAAACAAAGATGTCGGAGGTAATTAGAGAACGGTTAGGTCTGTAGCAGAGTATAATAATGTTTAGAAGGCCATTGTTGTTGTCAGAACCATCTATAATAGCAGAGCATCGTTAGGATTTGGCAGAGGTAGCGAAGGCAAGAAGAAAGGTCGATAGAGAAAGGCCATTGTGGTGTGGGAGTAACGAGAGGCCTCCGGCAATCCAATCAACCCGAGCTCATTAACGGCCAGCATTGTCGGGAGTCCGCTCTTCGGGGAGGAGGATCCTCGCCGATCAGGATAAAGAATGGATAACCCCAGGTGCAGGGGAATAGGGGACATCAACAACAGGTTTAGCAACAGGCGGCTCCCTCCAAAAGGCAGACCACAAAGCATTTATTACAACCGAAAAAAAAAATATCCATCCATTCGTAAAAGTACAAGAAAAATAAGCAAAGGTAGTAATTGATCTTCGTGATCCTAATTGGACCATGGATTTCTAGTGAAGTTGAATTGGAACAATGTTAGAACTCGGATAATTTCATTCAGTATTCAGATCCAATGATCGAATGCAGTATTGAGAAAATGAATAAAAACAAATTATAATAGATTTAAAATGTGATTTGATGTTAACAAAATTGATAAATCTCTTGTTCCATGCTAGATTATAATAATTAATAAAAGTAGTAATTTTTGTATAATAATTTGATTTATTTTCGGCTACGAAACAATGTTGTTTTCTTAAGAAATAATTTTTAAAATAACTAGATTTTAAACATTACGGAAACATTGATTTTTTGTTTTTATTAAGCCCTTTTGGACCTACACTCTACATAAAGACCATGGCAACCAAAAAGAATCATATACATAAATTAGAAACTTTTCTATAAGAAAAATTCAAGACTATAATCAAAGCTTGTTGGTATGTCATACATGACATGATTATACATAACGATCTTCTTCATATGGCAACAGTTAACTAGCACACTAAAAAAAGAGTTCAGAATAACTTTCCATGATTGGTAGCACTCAACATGCACGATAACATCCATCGGAGTCTCAAAAGAAGCTGGATGAGCGATCTTCTTGCTTAACAATAAACACTAAAATCAAGATTGAAAACTATGTTCCCTCCTCACTCATCTCCTCTCACTCACGCTTAATTGCCTTACTATTGAGCATTTGACATCATCTTCATTGCTTATCAGTATTTCTGACAGATGTAAGTGGAGAAATAATGTTAGAAAAATATAAACTAAGATATTGAAGAGAAGAATAGCTGGGGTGGTCAGTCAAAAAAAGAAGGCAAAAATAAATGATAATATTTATTTTTACATGCCGACGTTTCGACCTGAAGTTCAGGCCATCATCAGGGCTGACTGCTCCTAAGGTAAAGATGCAATGAATTACAAGAAAATACCTGATGATGGCCTGAACTTCAGGTCGAAACGTCGGCATATGTAAAAATAAATATTATCATTTATTTTTGCCTTCTTTTTTTGACTGACCACCCCAACTATTCTTCTCTTCATTATCCACGACAGTGAACCATTTACCAATTATAAACTAAGATACGTTATTCGATCATTTGTGTATTCATCATTAGTGTTTAAGCGCTAAATAAATACAAATACGTTTATAGGAGAGAAATGATGAGAAGATAAAAAATTGATTACACAAAAATGTTTATGTAGAATGATCCATAATTAACCTATGATTCAATCAGTTGTCAGCCATGATATTTATGCTTTTCTGGAAATCGTTTCTAGTATCAAATAAATTTAATATTCCTCCGAGGCGTCTGGAAAGGAGATGGCCTCGTGATCTCATTATATAAATATATTATTAGAGTGTTATATTATATTATCAGATATTATATTATCAGATATAATCAGTGGTTTCTCTCAACAATCATTTTCAAGTCATTATATTCCTGTGTGCAAATTTACTAGTTGTATTTTTAGTTTAATACAGTTGTAAATATCAGGAATAAATAATTTTTAAAAAATTATATATTGAGGAGACGAATGGTTGGGATGATAAGTCAAAAAGTAAAAATAAATAAGTATATTTATTTTTATTTTTGCCGACGTTTCGACCCAAAGTTCAGACCTTCATCAGCAGGGATAAAAAAAAAGAAACAGATAACAATAGGTATGAGAAACTATACAATTCAAAGATGAAAAAGAAAAATTATTATGTAGGTGAATGGTATAGTCTAAAAAATTTAGGTAAAATAAAATTAAAGGAAATATAAAATAACGCCCACGTGTGAAAAATGTAATAACGTTCCACAAACAGTAAAACACTTACTGGAAGAATGTCCTCAATTTGAAAGTTATAGACAAAAAACAGGATTAGCCAAAACATTAAGAGAAATCCTACAAGATACTGAAGAAAGAATCAATAATTTGTTTGAATTTTTAAAGTTAACAGGATATTACAAAAGAATGTAAATCATAGTAAAGCGCCTATGGCCCTTGAGGGTAGAGGCGTGAAAGAGGGTTAAAAAAATAACGTTAATAAAGTTAGGAGAAGAAAGTAGTGGAAGCTTAGGATATATAACATAACGGTAACAAAGTTAGGTAATTATGCCTGAAAGAAATTCGGCCTGAACTTTTGGCCAAATCGTCGGCAAAAATAAAAATAAATATACTTATTTATTTTTACTTTTTTTTTACTGACGACTCCAACTATTATTCTCTTCAATTATTCACTTCAGTCAACCATCACTACACAATTAAAAATTAATATAACTGTATCCAAGTGGAGAACTCCAAATTAGGTGGTGAAGATTATGTGGAACCTTTGTAGATTAAATCATAATTTATAAATGGACTAAGATAGGAGTTCGATAAATCGATAGTAGGGTGAAGCAGTTGCTGAATTCTGCGAAGTGGGTTGTTTTCAAGGTAATTAGCTGTATTTAGGGAGAGATTTCAAGTGCTCTCCCAGCTTCTATACCTCAACGGCATCACCATAATTAGTTTAAGATTAAAAACGAGTAATACATTAATAATTATAGTCCGTGCTACAGACCGCTATTTATCGAATTACTAACATCCCCCTAAAACTTCGTAAATAGTTTCATCTCATCGTAACTTACAACTATTTTATTTACGAAAACTCTTGGAATTGGAGCGTTTTCAATTTAGAGGAAGGGGGGCAAACTTTGTCAATTTAATTAGGTACTAAGAACTCATAAATACACATTTGCTTCCTACTTGGATCGTAAGATAATTTGATCACAAAGTCGAGAAAAAATGTAGCCTTCAAAAATGTTGAGCCGTTTGGCGTGACCTGCACCCCCAAATTTTCAAAATGACGAAGTTATATAAACTGCCCAATATTTTTGTAGGCCACTTTTTTTCTCACCTTTTTTATCAAATTATCTTAGGATCCAAATAGAAAGCAAATGGGTACGACTGTTTAGTACCTAATTAAATAGACAAAGCATGTCCCCCTCCAGATTTAAAAAGTCCCAATTCCAAGAGTTTTCGTAAAGAGTTTTCGTAGGTTACGATGAGATGAAACTATTTACGAAGTTTCAGGCGGATGTAAATAATTCGATAAAAAAGGGGTCTGTACCACGGACTATACATTTGATTCATAAAAAAGGGCTTGATTCATTAAAAATAGTATCCTAAAATACGTTAGGTAGATATCTAACGAAAAAAATATAAAATATTTTTTATATTAGAGAACGGATATTATGATTGTGTGTAGTTCAACTGTTTATATATATATTTTTTTAGTTTATAATTATACAATCAGCCACGTTAAAGGACAACAAGTATTATATACATACATACCAGTAATATATTATATTTGGAGGAGACTTAGTCTCTATAACGGGATGCCGCGCCACATATGTGGCTACTAGTATTTTAACAATGCTATGAAAGTGCATTTATTCAATATATACAAAGAAAGGTGAGTAAATATAAATAATAAAAACAAATATTATATGACTTAAATGTTGTCTATTTTAGTAATTTTCTAATGAAGATTTACCTGGAATCGAAATTAAAAACGTTTATTATAATATGGCATATTTTCGCAAATAGATAATTTAAACTTTTAAACACTCACCGATGACTTACAGGTATCGAGTATCTCCAACTCAGTTTTTTCTCCTCCTATGTTAGCAGTGTGTTTGTAAACCGCATCTAAAAACAAAATAAATGAATGAAATAATAAGAACCAATTAATTTATGCAAACTATGCAGTTTTGTTTGTTTTACTTAGGGAGTACCCCTTGTCCGCCTAACAGCGGACCCGCCCCCATTTTACAAATTATACAACTGTGCATTTAATTGTACTACTTCTTGCTAAAATTTTATAACTGTAATATATATGCATTCTGCGGTTCAGTCTGTATTTTTTTTTAATAACATAAAACAACTTAACAAACGGCTCAAACTACTTTACTCTCTTTTTTCTAAATCTTAAAAACTAAAACTAAAACAGAAACTGAATACATATACATACTTATTTAAACCCATATGAACGTACTCATCATAAATATACGGCATCGCTAAAAAGACCCACCTCCAAAAACTTCAAACGTTCCAATCAAAATTATTGCGACTCATAAACAAAAGAACGTTGGTACGTGACTAACAAATTCTACATACTGAGCTCCACTTTCCAACAGTTGACCAACATATAACGATCTTTTATCTACGATTTTACACAAATTTAAATGGACATAATAACAGACATGGCCACATCTGACATACCCCAGAACATAAGGACAGATTAAAAAGGCGTTGGATGAGAGATCTTCCTTAAACAACCTAAGTAATTGGAACAAGTTAGGGAAGAAGTACTGCTAAGCACTTTCCTTCTCCATGCCTGTCATCTCATTATTTCATGTCTCGCCATCACATTTACTAATTGTCAACAATAACTTGACACGCGTAAATCATTTTTTATAGTAAAAAAAAATCATTAAATTATAATATATTTGTGATATATGTACATATAATTCAACTCCGAAATCCTCACTTACCACAAATAGATCATAATTGCTTGAATTAAGTTTAATTTTGTCGATTTGATCCTTAAAATATGTCTTTTTACTATTATATATTTAAATGGATTTGTTTTATTTAATCTAGTAATCATTAATGGATCTTAATAAATGAAACATTAAAAACGGAAGATCAAGCGTCCTTCATTTTTTTAAGTGACTAGGACGAAGGAAGTAAAATTTTGGAGGTCTTGACTAGCGTATTTAATTCACCATGATAATTAATTCGGCATAACTTTATAAAGCGATAGCTTCATGATTTGAAATTATTTAATTTATATGACAAAAATAATTATTTGTCCATCTACCGCCTTAGGTATTATGTTCCAAAAAAAAACCATTAAAAATATGTATATATATTATAATGTAATTTAGGCTTTTTTCATTCAGAACAATCCCTGACAATTGTATTATCGATTTCTATCTTAAGTATTAAATTGTAGTGTTTCATTTATAATACGATGTATATCATAAATGTAATATTAATATGTATTATGAAAAGTTACCATTTGGGTAACACTAACTATTGACTTCATATTTTCGAAAAATATTTTTATTCTTTATTATATATATTTTTTAAAATTTATAATGATATTTACAAATTTACAAAAAAAATACATTTAGTAAATTTTATAAAAAAAAATCCATTACATATGGATATAATGACGTGAAAACACTTGTTGAGAAACTACCCAATGGTAGCACTCTAAAGATATGTCTACATTAGGAGATCACGGGGCCTCTTCTTTTCAGACTCCTCGGAGCGTTATCAGGAATTTAAGAGGAAGCAAGGTTAGACATGAGAGGGTTGGGATCATTCTGAAGTTTATTATGAAAGAATAGGTATCTGGATTGGGCCAGATCGGAAACATTTGGAACATTAAGATCTTTATGGATTATTACCCATAGCTGAACTCCGTAAGTCTAAATAGGTCTTATTATAGTCATGTATATGATTCTTTTGCAATTAATTGGAAGCTTAGATCGTCTGTCTAGTAAGTGTTAGGATGGGTTGGGATATCAGATCTATAAACTTTGTAAAGGGTAGGACCAAGGATACTATCTTGAGGAATTCCTGATTTTCAATACTAATTTACTAAGAAGAACGCAGAAAATCCCTAATGATTTGTGGATTTCGTTTATACAATGTAAATTGATCTTTCTACCCTTTCTCCAGAATTGGCTTTATTTGTAACAAAGTAGATTGGATACGAGAGGAATTCGATGTTGTAGTTTAGCCCCATAGCTCAACTCCATAAGTCCAAATAGGCCTTATTATAGTCATGTATATGACTCTTTTGGAGTTAATTGGAAGTTAATAGCGTTTGTCTAGTAAGTGCTGAAGTAATCGGGAACGTCGAGCGGTTTCTTGTCGTTTCAGTCTGGTATGAGGATATTATATTTTTAAAAACGAAATTCACACAACACTGATGGTTTACAATAATTAAAACAAAATTTTAGTAGACTGACCAAAATAATAACTTAATAATGAGATGTTTTAATAGACTGCTTTTTCCATTAAGTACTGCTACCTGTTCCAATTTAGCCATAAAGAATGGGAAATGATCATTGGCCACGCACTTAAACGGATCCTTATACTCCTATTCACTGAAAATGGAAGCTACTCCAGCATCATACACACATTAAATTGTCTGTTCAGTATAGGACTTCAATGGAAGTATTGGGCCTACAAATGAAAATAAATTGTCTGTTCCCAATTCAAGTGAAATAACCAGAAGAAATTTTTTTGGAAGAATCAGTGAGGTTGTCCAAATATCTTGTTGGATTTGATTCGTAAAAAAGGACTTGATTGAAAAACCGAAAAATTACGATAGGTATGTAGATAGGAAAAAATCTTTGTAGTACTATATATAGAAGGATATTAACTATGTGTTGAGATCGTATAAGTTTTTTTTCCTCACCGTAATGAACGAATAACTCACAATTTTACTGAATATTGTCTTATATTTTTAGCAATCTTGTATTGCTACATATAGTAGTATACTAATCGATATAATTTATTACAAGAATATTGAACAAAAAATAGCAATTGACATCTTTGGATGCTTCTTTAGCTTTAATTTTGCGCTAATAAAATTAAAGTTTATTTCTTGGGAGCGTTTGCTCATAAAATTTTATCTCTCCATAAATGTTTATGCAAATACTTCAAATATATCATATAATCACTAAAGAACATTCGATTTTTTTTTATTTGTAAATAAAACAAACATACTAACTAAGCAAAAGGAACAAAATAAAATTTACCTCACCTGTTCTAGAGCTGTATTCTCCAATAAATCTATGCGTAAGATATCTCACTGTGATTGCTGCAAATAAAACAAATCATAGCGTTATTATGTAAAAGCTTTTGTATGTTTAAAGTTTCATATTTTGTGCACTTTACATGTCTATTCTTATTAGTATCCATTATTATTAAAAACGCTAATGGCTATTTTTTTATGATTAAAATTTCGTCATTAATTCAGAGCAAGATGGTCTTATTCAAGTACTCAATCTTGCCCAATAGGTTTGTGATATATATTTAGGTCGGTCTTGAAATGTCATGTGAAAGTACACCGTAAGATATTATGATGTAATTTTTTTATATGGCCATGTGGTGTAATAAAACATAAAAATAATTCTTCATATGATAATATGGATGTACAGAAAGATGTATATTTCATATCACACTGACATTGAGTTGAATATATAGCGCTACTCTAGGAAGAGAAATATTTTCCAAACTGAGTAAGAAGCGCACATAGTAAGACCGTCTCTTCACTTCCAAGTTATTCTCGAGCCTGTCAAGTCCAATAGACTTTACTTGTCAAGTCCCGAACTTTTTTATTTATTTTGACGTAATTCGCCTGTATGTAATTTCATAAGTCCTTTTTAATCCGATTAAAAATAAATTTATTAAATTTAAAAATAAAGCTTGCTGATTTTAAATACCATTTTTTAATTTTTATGACTGCTATTTATCAAAATTTACAATACTCATTTTTAATGTTAATGATCAGTTGCAGATCCAGGATTTAATTTTGAGGGGATGGAAATTATTTAGGAGTTATTTTAATTAGTTTAATTTTTGGGCGTAATGTTTTTTTTATTATAACGGTTATTATTCTGGAATAATAATAAAAAAAAAAAACTACATAAAATGATGGAAGGAGATGGTCTGGGGTGGCGGTCATAAATAGGCTAAATAGTGGCAAAACTATTTTATTAAAAGCCAACTCAGTTCTAAGTGCAACTCCTACCTGAACACACCTACCTGAAGAAGACCTGCTAAGTTCGGTCGAAACGTTGCCTTTAATGAAATATTTTTGCCACTATTTATCCTATTTATGACCGCCACCCCGGACCATCTCCTTCCTTTATAATGCAACGGTCAACTATTGAATATCCTATATAAAATGATGTTTGAGTGATCTATAACAGCCTAAAAAAATCAAATGTAGGAATAATAATGCGTTTAGGGATAAATTGTATAAATATTTTATTTTTGACTCATGCTTAAATTAGTAGCTATTTAAAGAAATAGAAAAAGGAATTTTACTGTAGAGCAAAGTCTCTTACGAATAACTATTCATACAGTTTAACATCAAATGTGGCCAAAAGGCCTATTTCAATAAAAGAATAACTAAAACATAAGTAATAAGAGAATTATTTTTGTTGCTAGAAAGATAAATTAAAGAAAACAGATGAGGAATAAGTTCACAATAGTAAAAAATAGCTGCGTAAAACAACAAGTAAAAAAAGAATAACTAAATGAAATTATGAAAGAACTTTAATAGGCAAACCATTGTAGTGATTAAAAAAATATATATGAACAAATAAATAAATAAAATCAATAAATAAGATAAATGATTTACATCCGTTCCTTAAGATGTTTAAATCAGTATGTTTTCTTATAATGGTACTTATATATAATTTAAAATGATGATATAGCTGTCCTCAGAAGCAATCAAGAGGATATTGAGAGACTCTGTTAAAAGTAGCAGAACAAAGCGGACTACAAGTCAATTTAGATAAAGCAAAATACATGATAGTTAGTCGAAACATATACCATAATAATATGATCTGCATGGACTCTAAGTCATTCCCGAATGAAGACAGATTCAAATAACCTCAATAAATGATCAACTAACAAAGATCATTTTTTTTTTTAACTTTTATTATGATATTTACAACTGTATTAGTATGAATACATCTAGTAAATTTGTACAGAGAAATATTATTACATGAAACACGCTTGTTGAGAAACTACCCACTGGTAGCACTCTAATAATTTGTCTACATGAGAAGATCACGAGGCCATCTTCTTTTCAGACGTCTCGGGGGGTTATCAGGAATCGAAGAGGAAGCAAGGTTAGAAACAACAGGATTTGGATGGTTATGAAGTTTATTATGGAAGGATATGTATCTGGATTTGGCCAAATCGGAAACATATGGAACATTGAGGTCTTTATGGATTATTTTATTAATGACAAAGTAAGGAGCATTGAGGATTTTACGAAGGATTTTGGATTGTAAGGATTGGATGCGAGAGGAATTCGATGGTTTAGTGGAGCCCCATAGCTCAACTCCGTAAGTCCAAATAGGTCTTATTATAGTCAAGTGTATGAGTCTTTTGTAATTAAGGGGAAGTTTAGAGCGTTTGTCTAGTAAGTGTTGGAGTAGTCGGAAACGTCGAGCGGTTTCTTGTCGTTTCAGTCTGGTATGAGGATTCCAAGTTAGACGTTTGTCCAAATGAAGTCCAAGGTATCGGATTTGTTCAACAGGGATAAGCGGGATATTATTAAAGGATACTGTGGGACATGAGGTCATAGGTTTACGTCGAAGGGTAAATGTGATTTGATGGGATTTATTTTAATCCTCCAGTTTTGACACCATTCTTCAAGGCTTGTGATGTGTGATTGAAGAGTTTGGGATGCAATGGTTGGGTCATTATTAACGGATAGGACACATGTATCATCGGCATACGTGGTAATAACAGTGTTGGGATGGGTTGGGATGTCAGCTGTATAAACTGTGTAAAGAATAGGACCAAGGATACTACCTTGAGGAACTCCGGCAGATTGAGAAAAGAGGGATGAATAGGAAGATCATTTAATAGTTTATTCTACAATTTTTTTTTTCTGAAGTTTCAGGTAGATGGGGCTATTTTTTACATCTGAAGAATAAAATCTTCAAAACGAGGGTACTATCTGATAAAGAATCAACGAAGATATGGTGTTCCGACATCTTCCCCTTTAAAATCCTCAACTGCCGGTTTCAATTTCGTAAGGGTTGATTTAAACGATGTATGATTTCCAAACAATTTGCTCAATAGAAAGTACCTATCATCGTGATGTAAATAGTTGTTGTGTAGGACATTCATTCACCATAATGAGTGAATAAAGACATTTAATGACGTTGTTCATTGATTAAAAGGTCAAAGAGATACAGGGCGCAGTGCCATCTGTTGGGCAGTAACCGGAAACAATAGACGTAAGTCTATTGTGTTGTTTATCTAACAGTAAGTGCTTATAGTTAATTGGCAACATCACCTGGCAATGCCATAACACTTCTGATAGTTTTAAGGAATTAAATTGATTGTGCGGTACTTCCTCTTGGGAGAAAGTACACGACGTCCATCGAACATATATAAGAGAGGGGATTACTATGTAAACATGTGTTCATCTTTGGGGTAGAAGTAGAACTTTAGTACTTTAATTACTTGCTTATGTTTAATCGTGAATACAATTTCTAAATTACAACCAAGTAATAGCTTAACTTATTATTGAAAAATATAACAATAATATGCCTTTTATATCAGCCAAATAGTGTCGGTATATCTTTCTCACAATCTATCGGTACAAAGTAACATATATTCCAAGGTCAGCGATACGTTCGAGATTAAATAAATTTTTAAAAAATCATTTGCGAATAAAATCTACAAGCTGTCTTAAATACATTCACTTATCAGTGAAAATATATTCATTCGTACATGTTTTAGTAAAAACATAAGATGAATTTGATGTACTTAACTCTGGATCTTTTTTTTTTTTTTTACGAATCCTTATAAATCTCTAACGTCAAAATCCAACGAACCGTTCTTCAAATATAGGTGTATTAATAAAATTTTACATACTTGAGCGATAACCTTGAATGGAATTTTGGTAAACATTGAAACATCGCTATTTTTTTTCTCACTAATCTCCAACTTGTTCTGAATGTTGAACAAATTGAACGAGCCGTTTTTGAAAAGGGCATTGTCTAAGAAAGCAGATTTACGCATGCGTATGCAAAAGTATAAGATTACTCATCTACCTTGAGGGAATATACTATGTATGTTGAGTATGTGTCTGGATGTTTGCTGTGTGAGTATCACCTGAACTGACGGAACGTTGATGTGCTAGTTTATTTATAGATGCAATTTAAAGAACTAAGGCAATGTAGTTGGATTTTTTTCAATTATAATCTAATAACTGTCTAGATTTGAAAGGCCATAATTTTTGAAAAGTTGTCGGCACCATTTTCGATTTAATTTTTTGAGGATGATAGAAAATATCAGTGTTAGAGGATAGTGATTGAGCTAAAGAATTTGTATGGTTGAGTAGGCTATGAAGGGATTCCAAACCATTTACTACCTATTTAACAACTTATTTATATTAGGTAAGTCTATTGTGATACGAGAGACTCTGAGCTCAATTCATAATTAAGTAATTTATTCTAATCTTACACCAAACTATGAAAGCTTTTAGGGATGTTGTCTTCTTGGTTTCTAATTTTTATTTCATTTGATGAATTTGGGACAGGAGCTCATCTTTTCACCATCCATTACCGTATTTTTTTTTTTAATTAAATCTTTTCTTCCCGAGGCATACATTAGCACTGAATACCAACGACGCGCCATAACGCCTCCCCATCTTGAAATACTTTGAGCACATACTGAACAATGCTGAAGACAAATAGAAAAATTAATATTATTATGCGGAGACCACAAATGGATCGTGGCAGACTACCCTTCTTCCATCCAAGGGCCACAATGGCTTTTCTTCAACACCTGCTTGATTAACCTTTGCCTCATTGTTCTTGCTCAAGAAATTTCTTTCGGATAAAAGAGCTCGTTGTCATCGTCCGTTAACCCGAACCATGGGATAATGTTTTTGTTTTTGTATTATACGAAGCTGCTGTGTATTTCGTCAGCATATCTAGGTGAGCCTATCAGGATTCGTTGGGTCACTTATCCTTATGTTGACATCCATTTCATTATATATTATAAAAATACTACGACAGTTATGCTAAATTATTATCATATTTAATGTACATATTCATTTGG